AAAAAATACACTCCAATCAACATTGACACACATGTGGAAAATAGCGTTGGGCCAAGAGCCGACTTTTGGACCATCCTGTAAAGCAGTTTTGGAGAGGGAAGAAGACCGCCATTGCACCATGCTGACATGCTGCAATGCATGTCAGCATGGTGGCTCATGGACCTTTTGGAGCCAGGACCTGCCCCCACTGGTTCTATCACCTGAACCAGTGTCATCACAGTGGCCCCCTGCTGACGTTAGCACTGTCAAAGTGAACTATTTCCACGTTGACTATTTCCTAGCCAATCAGCTCTCAGCCCAAAGCCTCAAACAGTGACTCTTTCTCACAAGAAGCAAATCCAAATATGAAACTGTTAACGATTAGCATAAAGACAGAATGTTGTGCTCTGATTTATTCACAAAACAAAAAATATAGATTGTTTCTGTTGGGACAAACAACATATGTATGAGGAGAAATACCCAAACTACTTTTCCACAATTCCGGAAATGATTATCGTATGTTTTGAATCAGAAGACTCATTTTTTAATTTAATTAAATTTTAGGTTATTCTTACAGCCACCGTAGACTGTAAAGTTATTTCCCATTCACAAACATACTCATCTCCAACATAAGAGAGGAATAAGCATAAATGCAAAGTGATGCAAGAGCAGAATAAATGCAGTCCGCGAACTGGACTGGATCAATGGCGAGGTCTGAAGTGGAGCCGGAGCAGCAGACCTGAGCTCCTGCAGAAAAGAAGGATTTGACCCCAGGCTAGAGAATAATTTCACTTTCCCTCAGATCAGTTTAAAAAATCTCTCGCTGTCACGGCCTGGCAGATTTATACAAATTAATGGCCTTTAGTTGAAAATCTCCCAGCACTTGGGTTATTAATTGTTAAAGTGCATACATTAAACAAAATGAGCAAAAAGTCATTTTCATAAATTATCTTCTTGCAATAGAAAAAAAAAGTTTGTAGGTAAAAAGAGATTGTGTCCTGGCTTTTGTGCGGGAAGTACAGCAACAAAGGGAGATCAAACTTTATATGTATATGTTGGAAATGAATTGATTTAGTGAGCAATTAATAGTTCATTTCAACCACCTAGCCCCGTATTATCATGTATCAAGTATAGTTGAGTATCTGTAAAAAAATGATACTTTTATTATTATTACGTATCTTCTCTTGGCATAATAATATTGACAGAAAATATAAAAATTAAGTACATTTGACAAATAATAATAATAAAAATAACATTAATGACATAGTATAGACAGATTTTATTTATTTTTTAAACAAATTTACATACTTAAATGAGCAAACTTTGTGCCAAATACTTCTGAGCCCTATCCACCTTTATTTGGAAGTTGCCGGTATGATAGATTTTCCTTCGGTGTAATCAAGTGAAAAACATCGTTAAAACATCATCAAACTAAAACATCAAACTTAATACCATATTTTAGCGCAACTGTTCTCTATTTGTTGATATAAATGTCAGTTTTCATTTTGAAAAGAGAAAGAAGGATATTCAGTTCAACCCGGCCACTCATCTACTTCCTGATTGGACAAAATACATTTACAGTGTTGATTGACAGGTTTAACTCCAACTCTTTGACTTTCTACTCCAGAAAGTCTTGAATGGCCTTGTTAACAGGTCTTAATGATAGAATGATAGTATTCTCATATATCTAGAATATAATTTATTCTGTACTGGGAGGATTTTTTTTTCACTTTCAAAAGTCTCTGTTTAATGTTTATCAAAATGTTCTGTAGAAGTACACACAAGATCAGTCCAAAATAAACATTGGGGCAACACATTTGTGGCTTTCCTAAAATCATGTAGTGCATACTGTAGGACTGGCCTTGCTTTCTCTCACTCACAGAGCGGCTAAAACGTGTGCAAAGTGTTTCTATATATCAAAATCTCCTCCCGCACTCATCCCCCCTCTCTCGCCCGGACACTTATGTGATTCTTGAGGTGTCACTCCTCCTTCTGCAGGGGATAGAAGCTGCGGCGAGATGTTATTTCCCAAATTCGGCCCCTAGGACAAAGGACAGGCCTGTTTGATATTCATCTCCCCGCCGGTGGCACACTGGAGGGGCAGACTGTGAAAATCTATTCACTATGATAATGAACAAATTGTCATACATTGGGCCCTGTCTCCCCCTTGACAGTGATAGTTATCAAAGTGAGAGATCGAGGCAAAGGTGTGTGTCAGTGTGTGAGAAAGGAAGAGGAGAGGAGGGTGTTGGCGAAGGAATAAAGTGAAGAAGGAAAGAGGAAAAGGCCACAGTGTGTGATACTGTGGACGGGGTGATGTCCGCCTGTCACATGTTTTACCACTGAAAGCTTTGCATCAAGATCTGCAATTGTCTTCCTGAGTCAGTCACTTAGTGTTGAGTTGATTGCTTATTTTTGTCCATTCAGAAAAGAATCATTGGGCAATAGTATTTGTTCATATCACATTATGACCTGTGGTCCATATTACACGTTCAAGATCCATTCTGTTGTATGTGTTTTAAAAAATACACTATATAAAATTCTTCTGAGTCTACCACAACAACCTGCACTGGGAGAAAAAAATCCCCTCAAAGTGGCCTACAGGCGCTCAACCTGATTCATATAGGTTGTATTCAAAAGCACTGTATAATTATTTTTTGGTGTTATGCCATTCAAGAAATGAGTAGTGGTCTTCTTTTATTGCGCTATTTTACCTTCAAGATATTAAAATATTTTCATAATTTATATTTTTTTTTCCTGATTGTCATGGGTTCACCAGATTGTAGCAACAAGCATGATACTAGTGGTGATAAACTACTACAGTAGCCACAGCTGCCCTGGGGCACACAAACAGAAGCGAGGCAACCAGTCTGTGCCATCGGCCCCTCCGACCACCACCAACCATTCACACACACACACACCAGACTCATTCATTCATTCATTTTCTACCCTTTAATCCATTTCTGGGTCAGGGGGGTGGCAGTCAGAGATGCCACCCAAGTCTCATAGCACCAGCCCACACCAGACTCGTTCTATAGAATACGGGTGACAGTTTGGCACTATACAGCCGCAGCTGCCCCACTGTTATGTTCCCAGAGGTCTCCCATCACAGTACTAACCAGGTTCGGCCCTGCGCAGCTTCAGAGGTCTGATGGGGTCTGGCTTCCCCATCCACGTATGGCCATTTAGATTAAGTTTGAAGTCACACAGAGAACTTTTAATACGGCAATGTAGTGATGTTTCTTTTTTTACATATTGTCTTTGTTGCACAGTAGTATTTCCTCAGACAAAACACTACATTAACACGTTCTAACAGTTCACACACATTTTGTGGACAAAATTGCAGATAATCACACTTATGAATAACCACGCATTAAACAATTGAATAGAATAACCACCAGACTGCTAATGCCAATGATACTTTGTGGAGGGAAGATGCCACAGTAAAATATTTGTGTACCGGTTGTAGTGCCTGTACTTCTTGATTGCATTGGCCTTGATGGCCTGAATACGGCACAGTGACGATGTCTATGTCCTCAACAGAAGTGTGCCACCTATTATATCATTTGCATGTCATTACAATAGAGATGCCCACGGGCCCCGGGGTCAGGCAGGGGCCAAAGCCGAGTCTGTTGGATGATCGGATCAGGGCTCACATGCAGACAGTGCACACACAGGCCTACTCACCAGGGGACGCTATAATTGGACCAATCGCACTGACTTTACCTGGGAAAAGTCTATTCATTTACATACAGCTTTTTTCTTGCAGAAAGAAGAGAGATGGGCTTGTGAGGGTTGGGGAGAGAGAATATCATGTTTTGGGTTGTTTCATGAACAAATCAGACAACAAACTGTCTTTTTTATTAGAAAACATGTTATACTTTACATACTGAGAGCTGATTGGCTGAGAGGGGGCTGGTTCATCCAATCTAAAGATTAGATCAGACACCTTCATGTGGAAACTAGTGATAGAACTAAATAGTTTTTAGAGGTGCTAGCTTCATGGAATTTATTACTCAATTATGTTTTGAGATTTTGAAGTTAGGTACCCAAACTTTAAGTAAGTACACAGGTTATAGTTATTTATACAGAATATTTCACAGACCATGGTCACACAAAGTGCTTTACAATTTCAATCAAGTGTACATTTTCTGTTCCATAGCTCATTTCTATTGTACTGTATTTGAATCGTCCACAGAAAGGATGTCAATGTTGGGCATAAAAAAACACATAATAAAACGTTGGGCAAGAAAAAAAAAAGATTTTATTTTTCCCCCAGTGATTTAGTGAAGTAAACATGAAGCAAATTGAGTGACTGATACTGTCATCTCCAAAAACCCAGTTATACAAACTTTGACACAGCTACACCGTTGTATCACTTAAAGATTCAATTGATTAAAATAGGTTCAAAATCCCTCCAAAATTACTGTTACAAATATTTATTTAATTTTTTATATTTTCCTTTTTGTTGTAATATTTTGCAAAATAATATATAAATATACAATATTTTGTTGTATATTTACTCCTTTCTATCCATGTATTGTGTAAGCTGGGTTGGAGAACAAAAAAAAGATTTAGCCATTTAATGGTGATTTAAAAAAGATATTTAATTTGGTGTCAATATAAAAGTCAAGCAATCAAAATAGAGATTGCTGTCGTCAGAAATGTTTTGACTTTGTGTAGTAATAATTCAGTCTGGTGTTGTTCAATAACTTATGGCCACATCACCCAGCCCTAAACTGTCTATGCCATCCTCAATATCCTCAATCACCATTTACAAAAAATACAATTATCACATATAGTATTGAACAATGATTTCTCAAACGAAACAATCTACCAGCAACATTCTGCACAACATTCTCATCTCAATTTGCGATGCAACACATTTTCACGCCTTTAATACATCTAAACACAACCACTTCTTTACCCTTATTATTTAGCGTATTATTTTGCATGCTTGACATTCTCAATTACCGCCGCTTTTACATCGTCCTTTTCCATAGAACAAATCCTATACATGCTTAGGTCACCACCTTCCTCCAACATCCTGCTTTTTTTTCCCCGTGGTTCTCGACGTGATGCCCTTGAACACACAAAGCTGTTCTAAGTGGGTACGCTCCGGAGAGCATGGAGTAAATTACCCAGAGGAAATAAGTAAAAAAACAACAGCAATAACGGCAAAGCTGTAGGTGGCTCTGCTTGATACTGTACATAAATCATCCTAATGCCTGACTTAAAATCTGTGCATACTTAAACAGCCGTGTGGAGGGCAATCAGCAGCGAGAACAAACATATCTGCTCTATAGCTACATGTGCTGTGGAAAAAGTTTGGAATATAAAAAGATACAGGCAGGTGGTATGAACATAACATTTTATCTTTAACATCTGATATTTATGCTGACATCTGATATCAGCTGAATGTTAGTGACTATTAGAATCATATATTAATGTTTTTAACGGATGTGTTTCTGCTGAAGGACAAAATAATCTATCTCCCTTATCCATCTATCTAATCCAGCTATCTATCTATTTTATCTCTCTGATTTATTTTTCATCTATCCATCTATCTTTCATATCTCCCCTTTTCTGTCTGTCTTTCTATGTATCTTGTCTATTGTATCTATTTATATATCTAATCTATCTATCTCAACCATTCTATAAATAAGGATTAAAAGTTTAAAGTATGCATTCTCTCAGGGGGACAGTGGCTCAGTTGGTAGAGCATTGGTCCTAATGGACCTAATAGTTGTGGGTTCAATCCCCCCCAACCTATGTCACCTGCTACCACCGATGTCTGCTGTCATTGTATCCCTGGGCAAGAAACTTAATCCCACTTTGCCTGAAGCCACAGCTGAAACCTCAACCGTATCTTCATTGAAGGAGCAGCCATCTGCCTGTGGACCCATCACCTGCAGGAGGATCAGAGAGGGATAGGTGAACATACAGCACCTATCCGCTGAGCGGATTTTACCTATTATTATAAATGTTTTAGTGGAAGGGGAAACCGGAGCACCTGGATGACACCTACGCAGACACGAGGACAACATGCAAACTCCACTCAGAAAGACCCCGTTCAGACCAGGATTCAAACCCAGGACCTTGTTCCCACTAAGCAAGCCGACGTTGAATCAACGTAATTTGAACGTCGTTGTCCGACGTAGAATATAGGTCACTGGTGGGTGCAGAATGAAAGTTTTCTCGACGTCGTTTCCCGACGTCACCTCAACCTCCAAATGTTACGTTGATGGCACGTCAATTCAAGGTTTGAATGTGGTACGGAACCGGTCGGGTCTGACGTCCTATCAACGTCTCATATGACCAAAATATTGACGTTTATATGACGTTCGTTTTCAGTCGTTCCCACTAAGCAAGCAGATGTCAAAACAACGTAATTCCAACGTCATCTGGACGTTCATTCAAGGTTGTAATGTGGTACAGAACCAGTCGGGTCCGACGTCCTCTCGACGTCTTATATGACCAAAATATTGACGTTTATATGACGTCCATTTACAGTCCTATTGACCTCTGTAGAATGACTTAATAGTCGAGACATACTTTTTGCAATAGGCAAGGCAAGTTTATTTGTATAGCACAGTCAAAACAAAAGGAAACTCAAAGCACTGAACAAAAGATAGAAACAATCAAACAAGGCATTACAATTATAAATATTGACAGTAAATTAAAAAGATACAAATAAAATCTCTCAAAAAATCTCTCAGTTGAAGCAGAAACAGAAGTGTTTTAAACCTGGATTTTAACATTGTCAAAGAAGAAGCCTGTCTCACATTTCCAGGAAGACCGTTCCAGATTTTAGCCTTGTGAATCTGAAATGCAGCTATATCATGTTTAGTTCTGACTCTGGGCAATAAACGATAAACACAGCATTCAAAAATCATTAGAACAACTGTAGTAGAAGGATATCAGTCATTATTGCAAATGGAGCTGCATTAAAAATCATGTTTCTCTACATCAAAGTACAAGTTAATCCACACAGGACACAGTGTTATGAACACTACTGTACTGAACAGTTCATGCCAAAGTAAAAAAACATGATTGTAGCGCCTATGTTTGGATCAGTATTAAAACAGGCACAAGCTACACTCTAGGTTCCCCAGATGTAAAAACACAATCTGAAAGGCAGAAGAATGCATTTATTGAATGTTGATGTTCCAACATGTGTCCTCTCTTGGTCTTCAGTCTCTCATCACAAGGTCCAAGCACAGCACCTGGAAATGTGGAACATGTTTAGTTTCAACATAATGTGGCAAAGTGATATAACAACACATAACTTTCTATTAATGCCTCAAACCACTCGATCTATCACCATGTGATACAAACCTTGGCACTGCACTAGCTCGAGACACTGGAAGACACTCCGTCTGAGAAACTTGGGATAAGGCTTTGGTCATTGGAGTAATTCCATGTAAAAAAACAATTGCAAATGTGCATTTGTTTTGCACATGGACACAAATGAGCCTGAAAGCTACTTACCCTGTATTACTCTACACATGTCGCATTTCCGAGCGGGCATTTTCCCCTTGTTGCTCTTTTCCCTCATCATGAGTGAGTTGCTGAACAATCTGAGAAAAAGATAGATGTTTTCAAAGAGAATACACCAAATAATGGTTTATTCTAAAAAACAACATATTAATACAGAACAACAATCAATGTGTGAGAGTGTGATTCTTACCTTTGAACACCTTCAACACAGTCTGACACCTGTAAGACTCAAACACACATGACACATTAGGAATACACATAGAACATTAGTTATTGCAACAATCATGAAATTATACTCTATGGATTTCACAAAAAATTGACTGCATTAGCAAAGGTAAATGTATTTTAATTATCATATGGCTGGTTTTAATGTTTATAAGAAAAAGTAAGAAATTGAATAGAGTTGCAAGCGCTAGTTAGCTTGCTACCAGCAGATGAATGGATATTTAATATTTGCAGCTAACAATAACAAAAATAACGACTGTAGTGGCTCATTTGAACAGCCACAGTGAGAAGAAGTGAAAGTCTCTGACATTGAAGACCTGGGAAGACATTAAATCCATTTATTAAACAAAGCAATACATGAACATTAAACTCTCTTTCTGCAGCAGGTAACATCTGTGTGCTCCTATGGTCCACATGGTCCCACATGGTCCCACACCTGAACTCAACTCCAACTGATGACATCACAGGTGTCTAAATGATGGGAGTGTCCAAATATTAAAGCTGATCTCCCTGTTTTTAAACTTAGTTTACTAAGTACTGTTGTCTTTTTGCAGTTTATAAACCATTGTGAAATATACAGTAACTTTACATTTTAGAATTGAATTATTATTTTAAAACTCAAGAATCTTAACCTTTTTTAACACATAGTTTGTTGGACAGTCTAACCTAAGAATTCTAATGTGTTAAAAATAGTTTGAAATATGAAAAACAATATCATATTTTAAACTTTAACTTAAAAACAAAAAATCATAGGAAAAAGATAACAGATAAGTAATTCCAGATTAAAAGAAGCCGTGCAGATTTGTACATTAGAATAAAAAAATATTCAAAAGCAGCTGAGAACAGGTGGGTCTTTAACCTGGATGTAAACAAACTGAGTGTTTCAGCTGATCTGAGGCTTTCTGGGAGTTTGTTCCAGACATGTGGAGCATAGAAGCTGAATGCAGCTTCTCCGTGTCTGGTTCTGACTCTGGACTCGGATCCAGATGACATGAGGGGTTCTGGTTGGTTCATAAGTTATGAACAAGGCACTCAAACAACACTTTTGCACATGTTCGTTAAGGCACAGCAAACAGTGACAATCTTATCTAAAGGCATTAGGTTTTCACCCTCACATTTGAGAAGCATATGCACAGGTACAGTTGAGTGTAAGAATTTGAATTTGTTGCGCACAACACCAATCACCCTCTCAACGTGAATTCTGAGATGGAAGGTCTAATCTGAGGCGCATTACAGTCAATAGGACAAGCTGGAAGGGTGAGAGCTTCCTCATCCTTCCTTGAGGGAGCTGCTGGGCGGCGATGGGGGCTGCTGGGCTTGGGCTGGCGATGGAGGCTGCTGGGCTTGGGCTGGCGATGGAGGCTGCTGGGCTTGGGCTGGCAATGGAGGCTGCTGGGCTTGGGCTGGGAGTGATGACTGCTCCAGATGCTGGGTACTGCGCTTTACTTGCCGCTGATATCGCGCTCCATCTGTTTCTTTAACATTATTGTGGCCTAACCGCAAGGATGGTGTCCAGTCAGGGTGATTCTCCAACATCTCATATGATAGTTTACCTAGAACAGAATAATGTATGTAGTCAATGCTTTAAACTGGCAACAAGGTAGCATAATGTCATGAACAGAATCTCAACTATTTTTAGCAATCTCATATAATGGTTTACTTACATCAGATTAATAAGATTATTAAACAATCTGGAATCTAAAGAAATATTAAACAAGAAGGTAACGCTATTCATGGTTTCATAAAAGGGCTCAGGGGGTAGTGGAAACACAAGACAAAAAAAAAGTTTGGGCACCACTGGTTTAGAGAACATAAGAGACAGAGACAAACGCACTTTGAGTGCCCATATTCCACCAACAAGGTAGGATAATGAGCAGAAACTTAAATATTCTTAGTTAACATTAATGGTTGGCCATTAAGCATTTTCATAGAGGCAACAGTTTGTTAGATAGTTAGCTAGGCAGCTAACTTAAGATGCACTTCAGTGTTTGCAACATTAACAGCTAGGTAACCTACACTTCTTAACTTTAAAAAAACAACATAAAGACATTTTAGGACGTACCCGAGTGAAAATGCAGAGAACACACTCTCATCGACTGGGGGTGAGATCGAAAGTAAGGTCCTTTCTTCTTATTGCAGCCAACCAAGCCATCGGGCGTCTCTTCGTCAGGTCAGACACTTGCGCTCCCTGATGTTGTATCCATTTTGGTGGCCTAAAAAATTGTAAACCGTTGTTCCTACGTTTTCTTTCTTATTGTGTGAGGTACTGGAGCAGAAATAGCGACGACCTCCTTTGCTACCGAGTTAACAACAACAAGTGTTTGCCGCTGGGATCCTACCAACATGGCGGAGACGGGGAGGGGCTCTGTGCTATGACGTCAGCTCCTCACTCTCAATAGATTCATGCACTGGCAATTCAAAATACAGATAATATACAAAATATACTTAACAAAATCCACGTATACGTGAGAAAACAACTTACTTTCTGTCTCCAACTCTTTTCAATGTGGAAATGATACATCTATATCTAAAAACTGTGCAGACTGTGTACTTACTAGAGAGGGTGATTCCAAGTAGCTAAATAAAGCAGGGCAGCGACAGAGGTACAGATTCAACGTCATATCAACGTCTGGGAAGGCATTACTTTACGTCCAGATTCACACCTTACGTCGTTTAGACGTGGAAAACAGGTCCTCGACCGAGCGACTCACGTGTCAGGCTGTAAAGCCTAAGTTATACTCGCGCGGCGCATAAGTGTGCGTCGGTTGTTTAGGGTGTTATGTATTATTTTGTCACAGTAGTCTGGATAAATGCCTGGCCGTGGTGTAGCGGTTGCGTAATGAGACTTCAGTCCCAACGACGCAGGTTCAAATCCCCGTCGGAAAACTTTTGACTTTTTACTTTTTAGCGAACAATTTTTCTGTTTGGTTAAAAACGAATAAACACTCAACATAAGATTATGTAGTGGCTAATAATAAAACTTGTGAACCCATGCATTTGCATACAATCTCAAGTGCTCACCCCTTATTTGCAAACTTGAGATTGTTAGCACAACAAATGCATACATTCACAAGTTTTATTATTAGCCACTACGTAATCCTATGTTGAGTGTTTATTAGTCTTTAACCAAACAGAAAAAAATTGTTCGTTAAAAATCAAAACAAATATGTAAAGATAATAATACACACACGTGGGCTCGAACTCACGTAACCAAGGCTGCACACATTTGCTTAACCACTACACTACCGTCAGGTACACTGAGATCGCTTCACAGCCTATATATTCTATTGCTAGATCAAGACGTACTGCGTCGGTCAGCCGATGACCTGTTTTCGACGTCTAAGGGAGGTCGGGATTGAACGTCATATCCACGTATATGGGAGGTCATTGTTTTACGTCCAGATGCGCACCTTGCACAGACGTCGTTTGGACGTAAATAAAAGGTCACGACCGACCGACGCGATATTGACGTGATCTGGAGGTTGAGTGGACGTCGGATGTTTAGTGGGTTGGTGAGAAGTGAGAGTGCTATCCACTCCCCCCAAAAAAACGGATTTTGAATATTCTTTTCATTGACTTGGATCAAACAAGCAAGTAACCAGTACAGAAATAACAGCTTGTATGAACACTTACCAACACTGTTAAACCAGGATGTTTTTTCAAGTTCAAATATTTAAAATGTAGGTTTGACGAGTGGAAGGTTTTTCAGTCAGATGCAATACAAATTTGAAAGAAGCCACCGTAAATGGTAATATATACAGTATATATGGCTCTCTTTAAGTGCCTTGCATTAAGGAACCACTCACCCATTCACACCCCTGTTTATAAAGAGATGGACCCACACTTATGTAAGAAGTGGGATTGGAACATGTATTTAGCTCCCGCAGACTTAACTTTGGCCTCCTGATTTAAATACACGTTATTTTCATCTGATTTTAGACAATTTACAGGATATTCCATAAATAAAAACAAGTCTAGCTGATGCCTTGCTCACCTTTTCACACCTGAGAAAGTATTTTGCCAATTTGTGTACCTTTCACATATATTATTATTTAATCCGTGGTACATTCGTTACCCGTCTGATAATTCGAGCAGAGTGGGAGCATGTAACATTTGATCCAAACAAACAAGGACACGAGGCACATCTGTACTGCATTTATAGTCTGCGGACATTAATCTCGGCTTCAAAGGCAAGTCTGGAGCAATCGCTAAAACACACTGATGTCGGCAGTATATTTTTTGCCCTAAATACAACTATTAAACAACTGCAAAGGGGTTGAAGCGTTTCTTACAGTTTTATTATGTTGCAATTTACTAGTTATTGTTTATGATGGTGATTGTACGTTTGATTAACGCTGGAAGGATACAGTCCACTCCATTAATCTTGGTACCACTGGTCATACACTGTTCACCCATGGAGACGGTTTAATAAAATGTGTACCTTACAGAATTTGACTTTAGGGCAGTAAAAAGTTATGGGAGTTGGTTCCATTGATTGTGAATGTTTGCATTGCTCTCTGATGTACCAGAGGACACTAAACTGGAGCTTCTGAATGTGACTCTTTCAACATGCACATGGACTGGGAAACGAGACCAGTTTAGAGAAAAATCATAATTCAGTTAATTTGTGTGTGTGTTTGTTTTTATTAAGATCCCCATTAGCTACTTAAAAATATACATAGCTTTTCTTCCTGAAGTCAATATACTGGGAAAAAAATGAATTTACAAATGTCTTAACCACAATCTTATTTCTCTCTATATGTAAAGAAAGTGCTACAACCGATTGATTCAAGGTAGAATCTTCTCAATACAAGGGCGCCAAATGTCCCCAGATAACAGACCAACATGTAAAAATTGGTGACCCTTTCTGAACAAAAGTTTAAAGTAGAGCTATTCTTAATTAAAAATACAATGGATATGAAGTTAATAATGTTCATGTTTAGTGTTTTCGAGCAGATTATCCAATCAGAGAGAAGAATGAGTCTCTCTTTTGTGTTGCCAGGTTGTTCTTAGATAAGCTTAGCTGGTGTCAGTAGATCCAAAAAAACGTAATAGACAAAGTTTACTGTTTCTAGCTAAACTCCAGCAGGTGGATTGCACGTGTCATCAGTGCTCAGACAAAAGGTGGATTGTAATGATCATGACTTTTTTAGACCACTAATAGTGCTTAGTACTTTGGATATTTGATAACACTTTGAAGCAACTGTGGTTGAAGCTGTGCTCATTATAACACATGCTGGAGCAGTACTTTTCCACTTGAATGTTTTTGTTATCTGAAGGCCAAGCTGCTAGCGCCGTGGCAAATGCTGATTGGACTGTCTATGCTAATATATCACTTGCATTCTGTAACATCTTTGTTTGTGCCCGTCTCTTCCATCAACAATAAAATATGTCTGTCATTTTTTTGAGTACATGGAGTCCCTTTAACTTGTAAACACTGATGAGGTGTTATGAATACCCTAGATTTTTTTTTTGTGTTCCCCAATATTTTACGAACAAACATATGAACACTCAAACAGACATATGTCCAGGACCGAAAAAACAAATGAAAAAAATGAACATCTGTAAAACATTTTGACTTTAGATGGTATCTCTGTGGACTATACCAGTGGACAGTTCCAAGTACACAATATCCACAACTGTCAAACATTGAACCCAAAACATGGTTAAAATAAAAGTTTAACGGTATTTTTTATTGTTCCGAAAAATGTACCAGAAAAGAAAATCCAAACTTCTTGATAAATGAAAATAAATGAGTCTATACCTCCAAATAATGCAAGAGGTGAGCTGCAAATCTCGTCTTTGAGCTTCCTCGAAAGAAAACAATTAATACGTTTTCAAAGTAGCAGAATTGCTACACAAGCTTCTAAATCATTTTCTATACAGTGATTTAGCTTCATCTCCCTACATTTTTCTTACATAATGTTGTTCTGTCTATTTCCATTATTGATTAAAGTAGTCCTCACTTTCTTACAGGGTGTCACCTTTTGTCAATTTACCAATCCATTTCTCAACAACAACAAAAAACTCTGGACCTAAAAAACTGTAGGTCCCAACACATTTTTTATTTATTTTTTCGTACCCTGACAATATTTACTTTGATACCCCTGTCGATTCTAGACTTGACATTTATAATGGATTTATATATATTTTTTTTTTCTCGCCTCTTACCTTACACCCCTTCTAAGCCTCCCCCTTCCACGATTCTCACCAGACAACACCAAAAGTAGCAAACACTTTCACCTCTTTCCTATCTCCCTTCCTGGCTTATTGATGGAAGAGAAGGCTTTTTTTCTTTGTTTAGGACGTTTCTCAAGTCACTGATAAACATAGCGCGCCCTTAAGGAGTTGACGGCCCATGTCACCAGGCAGAGGGCCCCTCGACACGCCGGGATATAAATCTACACCGCAGAGATACCGAAAGTACATGATGAATTAAGCCGGTGCATATAAATTCTTAAGAGCCTCCATTTTAATGCTGGTCATTATTCAACAAATTTTTCTAAGAAATGCCACATGGGCAGGAACAAGTAATTAGGGCTAGAAAAGTGAAACTGTCAGCCGTAATGGTTTACTCCGTCGCCTCACCTTATCGAGGGAGGGGTGGCGGTGGTGGTGGTGGTGGTGGTGATGGAGGTGGCTGGAAGTGAGGGACGCAAAGCTCCATGGGGCCACGCTGTAGCTATACCAAACTGCCATTAAGCCAATTCTGAAGACTAACTGCTCGGGAGGTGCAAATCTAGCCGTGTTCTCCTCAGTGTATTCAAAGCATTGTTAAAAAGGATGTTTCTTTCTTCTTTTTTCTCTCCTTTCTCTTTCTCCATTTCCAACGCTCTCTTCCTCCTCTCAAACCGGCCAAGGCCTCAATAAATCTACGGTCACGGGGGATATTGTTAGTGTTGGCCAAAGTACTATTAAAATGAAGGGAAATTTATGGATGACACTTTGTAACAATTAATCAGGAAATGTTGATTAATAAAGTTGGTCGGGTTTTCTGCGGAAAGCGAGGGCATTGTCAGGCCGATCATTTTATTCATTATTTTTGATTAATGCACCCAGATATGCGGAGTCTAAGAGAAGCAAGGAGAGGGAGGGGGGGTGGTTTGGGAGGCTTTGGGAGTAGCGTTCATGTATGCAAAATTATAAATAGTGAATGAACGTGCGTACGAGCCTAACCTTGGCCGAGCAGTTGTGATCGGGATGAGGTTCGGATGTGCGTTTTCAGCAAAATAAACGGCGAGCGTGGGGGATTAAGGAGGCGGAATGGGAGGGGCTGGGTGAGGAAGGGTGAGGGAGGGGTGTGTTTGATGAACATCACCTCTCTGGACCTGTCTGTCTTCAGCCGGACGCCTATGATTAATTAGTTTGTTTAGATACTCAATTAGCCCAGCCATGCAAAGAAAGCACATAGGGGGAGACGGGGAGGAGTGAAGGGTCAGGCAGGGCGGTGGTATAGAGGTGGGGGAGAAAGAGAAGGGGGGAAAAAAAAAAGATTGGAGAGATGAGATGTGAAGAAATAGAAATTATATGTTTTTTTTCTGCATCTTCAGCTGATAATGCGTGGTGTGGATCTGATAGTGGGAAGAGAGTGTGATAAAAGTCTTCCATTATGGCCAATGACGACCAAAGTGAATTATTTACCTTGTCTGTGCTTTTCCCTCCTAGAAATAAAACGTTTGATCACATGATCTGAAGAAGTTTTTTTTTTTTCACACCTCTTTCACAGGGCAGATATGAGACTATATTAGAAAAAGTTTTCAAGTGTGGGGTGAAAGTTGTGACTTTAAAGAGAGGCTGAAGATAGATTGTTTTGTTTGTCACATTTAGTATTAGTGTTCACAAGCATGGATTGCTTGGACCAGCATGGACAGGTGGTTTGAGTGACCCATGATCCTCCCTGATCTTTTATAGATGTCTTCAGAGGTGGCTGCGGTGTCCCTGTGATCCTCTGTGCTGTCTCTGCACAACCATAGAGAGACTCATGTGTCAGCCAACCTTTAAAGGTAAGTTCAACCTTTTTACACACTGTTTTTTTCCAATAAAAATGTATGTAGCTACCCAAAGTGCCTTGCAAAAGTATGATTGAAATTAAACCTTTGCACGTGTTGCATGACATAATGATAGATTATTTCATTATTTTGTTCCTGTTTATTTTTCATGCATTTTCCATCGCTGCATTAATCCATTTCTGGTCGGGGCGGGGGCGGGGTGGCAATGAGAGCTGCCACCCAATCCTCATAGCACCAGTCCCTCGCTGAACCATGAGCCTTGGTGTTTCAGTCGGGGCTTAAGTGTTTTGCCCAGTTTGCCCTGTAGGAGAAGGTCTCTTGGTGCTTCTTTATTTTGTAGCCTGATATTCTTTTAACTAAATATTTTTTTTTTAAAGAGGGGTGGCACAAGGGCTGAGTAGGTAGAAATCTCGCTTCTCAGCAAGAACGTCCTGGGTTCAAATCCCGGTCGGAACAGAGTCTTTCTGAGTGCATGTTCCCCGTGCCTGCATAGGTTTCCTCCGGGTGCTCCAGTTTCCCCTACCACAAAAATCATGCACACTAGGTAAAATCCTCCAGCTATGGTCCTAGCCAAGCCGAGCATCAACATCTGGAGATGGGTTCCCAGGCGCTGTACTACGGCCACCACTGCTCCTGACGTAAGCCCTAGCGGCATCAGGATGTGTCGAATGCAGAAGATAAATTGCCCTATGGGGATTAATAAAGTGCACCTTTACCTTTAATTTGTACCAATGACATGAATATGATATAAATACATATATAAGTCATCAAAACAAAATCATGTGACATTTTACTTTCACTTTCACTGAAGAATCTCCATGAAAACTTGATCAAATGTGCAAAGGTTGTATTGGCAATTTTGTAAGGAACTTTAGGTACTATATGTATTGTCAGTCAGTAGGCCTCTCATGCCCTATTCCTTAACTTATGAAGACCAGCCAAGCTAATGCTTTAATGCTACATTGTGGAACATTTTAATTGAAGTAAAATCCTCTCCTTTGAGACATGGCCAACCCTCACCAATGCACCTTTCAACCCTATAAATACTTCATAATATTGGGCGTATTAAGTCAAATTTACTGCAGGCTTAAGTGAAAGCAACACCTGCTGCATGAATATTAACGCATCGTGCATCTTAAGGAGGTGCAAAGTGACTCTTCCTGTCTGTCCGGTCAGTCACACTCAGATAAAACGGTCAAATGTTCAGTGCAGAGCTGCGTTTCTCACTCAGACGCACTCCCTCTTTATGCCACATCACATCTGCTCAAACAAGTGACGAACATAAGACTTCTCTCTCAGTCTGTCTGTCCTCCTTTGTTCTCTGCTCCCCTCCACTCTCCGCACACTGGGGCAAATAGCTGCAGAAGGAGCGGGGTGTCGGAAGTGTGTGTGTGTGTGTGTGTGTGTGTGTGCGTCCCCCAGCTTCTTATTGGGTTATGTGTGACAAAGTGCTGTGGCTGCAGAAATGTTTGTGTGACATGCTCTCGACAGCGGGAGTCCATTAGCTGCCTCTTTTGAGTCTCCTTGGCAGGTTATCACTCTCATCCTCGCGCACACACACAAACGCACACATACGCACGCACATATACGCACACTCTCCTTACATGTGCACACTAACGCACTTATGAGCTTCACAAACTAGACAGAAGACAGCTGCCGCATTTGAGCCACTTGTGTCCTAGCAACATGTGCCGGGTTAGAGTTCCACAGTGTTCAAAGTCACACATTTATGATCTATGTATATACATTTTCAAATCATTACTTTGAAATAAATGAAATATTTCCAGAAATGCCAATGCAGTTTAACTTTAAGGGTAGAAGTAGATCTTATAATGCGAGGTTCCAAATTCACCATTTTCTTGAGATATTTGGACATTTTAAAGATGGACACACACACACACACACACACACACACATGCATTACTGTCACATCTTTGGATCAGATTTTTCAAACAAAAAAGATAAAAACCGAGAACCACCTCACTCAGCCAATCAGCTCTCATCCCGTTGCATTGTTCAGTGACTCACAGAGCCCTTTTGTACAAATATGGAAACGATACTGTAACACGAAGGCGGCATGTTGTGGTATGATCTCTTTCTGTTGGGAAAAATAAGATTACAGTAAAATACTATACTTTATGAATCCAAGCCATGTCTTCGTTTCATTTTGGTGGTTATGGCTAATGGTCCATTTTCAAAATACTCTATTTTTATCAAATGTTTTACCTGGGGTTTTCACAAGCTAAAAGGCAATTACCAGTGTTGGGGTTAAAGGAATACATGTGAATACACTTTCTGAGTGACTGTATTCCCTTAAAGTTACGACTACAGTCTAGTATTTAGAATACAAGTACAAAAAAAAAGGAAAAAAAAACATTGGGTCTTCTTAAAGGGAAGATTCTATTTTCTTCTGGTTGTTAAATGCAGCTGTTGAAGCACTTTGAAAGAAATAAACATCAAATTATCGAATAATTACAAAACAGGTTTTTTCATTTGAACATTCATTGAGGTTGTGGTTTTCAATTATTTAAAACAATAACTTTTTTTGGTTTTGTAAATAAACATGTATTGTCGATAAATACAAATATTACAAAAATAATACTTAAAAGTATGAATAAAAGTATTCTCAGTATTTGGAATACAGGTACTTCTCTGTCCAAAGTAAAGGTATACTACATAAAATACATTTTAGTTCAATTGACTTTTGAACAACACTCTACTTTTCCTAGAGTCACCTGTAAACACCAAACAGTAAAAAGATAAAAAACAATTCTACATAACTTCTTATTATCAACCCTTTTATAAATGAAGTCCAATGCCCGTCTCTAACCCAGCAGACTATGTCATTCATGTCCCCCAGCCCTCCCCCATCACTTCCCCCAGTTTAACCATGATTCTCTACAAATCACTCCCTTCACCAGAGTCCAAATTCCCCTCGGACCGGGAGCCGAGCCAGCATTGCCCGTGTCTGGCGTTTAGTCCGATTTCGCTTTCCAAATGGGCCTAACCTTTTGGGACTTGTTTGAACTCCCCCTCCTCATGTCTTGCACTCTCTTTTCCTCCCCGTCTTGACCCCCTCCCCCCTCTTTGGTCCCCCCCACTCCTTCCACACATGGAATACACAATTTTCCAAGTTAATAATTGATGCCTATCCTTCATACGCATTTTGACAAGCCTTCTATGTGTGTGTGTGTGTGTGTGTGTGTGTGTTGTGTTTGTCTTGCCTCTTTCTACCACACAAAACATGTCCTGTCGCTTTACCCGTTCGTCATAAAGTCCATATGTTGTTATGCCCCCACTTTTTCCCCATGTTTTCACTCACTCATTCTCCCGAAGACGCGGGACTGACAAACATGCAAACCGTTTTTGAAGAGAGACGAGCTTTTAGGCCGTCCACTTTGACAGTTGGGGGAGTCGAGTGTGGAGAGGCCATGCAAGTTTAAACAGACAATAAGAGGGGAGTATGGTTGTTGACAGAGGCGTGTAAAGTTGATTTACTTTGGAGGAATTTCCAAAGTTGAATGTCTTGTGGTTTGTGGTGTGGCACAGCGGCTTGTTGCAGGAACGGGGTTGGGACAGTACAAAAGGTTATGCAGATATGAAATACATATGAGACATCACAGATAGGCTTTCCAAGTTGTTCTAATTTTAGATTTGTCTTGAAGGATTCGCCTGGCGGTGCAGATGCAT